TTTCTTGCCCATATTAGTTTGGGGGCCCTAAGGACTCTGAACTTTGAACTATCTCTGCTTACTTTGTCAAAGCTGATAATGTGTCTACGAACACACCTCTCCTGTAATCTTTGTGGGTATAGGGGTGAGAGGAAACTTCCCCTTCACCCCAGAAGGCTCACTGAAACATCAGCTCACTATAAAGCACATTAATAAGAAAAAGAGATTGTAAGTGTACTTACTGTGGGACAATCTCAGAGTGATTATCAGTGGGGTCCAGAAGTTTATATACACTCATCTCAAAGGAGAGGAGAAGACAAGGAGTATAGTAATTCTGTTGAGGGGCAGTAAGTGGTTACTAAGGAGGAAGAATAGACTCGGGGTCGGGGGAACTGATCAACTTGTAAATGATTCTCTTTGGAAACTAAATTAATCTGAGAGACAGGTATTATCTTAAAATTATTTCATTTCACTCTTCGATAAAGGGAGGAGAAGGGAAATCAGTGGGTCTGTCTGTCTTATGAAGATAGAAGGAAAGCCCCTTCCAAGCCGTTTAATTCAAAATACTCTTAGCTGGTAAAATAAAGACCATTTCCTGGCTTTTTGAGGCCTGGTGAAGTGGCTCAGCCCTGTAATCCTAGTACTTTAGGAGGTTGATGTTGGCAGATTGCTTGAGCTCAAGAGTTCGAGATCAGCTTAAGAAAGAACAAGACTCCATCTCTACTAAAAATAGAAAAAAAAAAACAAAAAAAACAAAAGCTAGTGTGATAGGTGTACACCTGCAGTCCCAACTACTTGGGAGGCTGAGGCAGGAGGATCGCTTGACCCCAGGAGCTTGAGGTTGCTATGAGCTATGACACCATGGTATTCTAGCCAGGGGCAAAAAAAAAAAAAAAAAAAAAAAAAAGTAGTACTGTCCAGGAAGATTGGCTGGGTCTACATCATTCCACAAGTATTTATTGCATGTGTGGTCTATGCTAGGAACTATTTTAGGCAGGAAAGTTATAGCAGTAAACAAGACAGAACAGGTTCTTTCTCTCATTCTGCTCAAATTCTAATGAGGAAGACAGAGGCAAACAAGGAACCAAATAATAAATCAATGAGATAAGTTTTAATAGTGATAAATGCTACAAAAAAAATAAGAGAGAGCTCCTCTGGGAGGCAGAGGCGGGTAGATTGCCTGAACTCACGAGTTCAAGACCAGCCTGAGCTATAGCAAGACCTCCGTCTCTAAAAAACAGCTGGGCATTGTGGCAGGCACCTGTAGCTACTCAGGAGGCTGAGGCAAGAGAATCGCTTGAGCCCAAGAGTCTGAGGTTGCTGTGAGCTATGATGCCATGATACTCTACCAAGAACAACAAAATGAAACTCTGTCTCAAAAAAAAAAAAAAAATCATAAGAGAGAGCAATGGGATAGAAAGGTGTTTCTGGAGCAGCTCTAAACACAGTAATCAAGAAGGACTCTCTGAGGAAGTTACATTTGAAGTAATATCTGAATAAAGAAAAAAACCTAGGTATAGGAAGATTTAGCAGTTTAACATTCAAGCCAGAGGTAATAGCAAGGGAGCTAGCATTTCAAGAACTTGGGGCTAAATAGTCTTAAATAAGGGAGAAAGTCATGTGAGATGAAGGAGAAGAAACAGGGAAATGGGCAGGGGGAAGGCCTTATTGGACAGGGTTAAAAGTTTGCTTAGTATTTCAATAGGAGATGTCATTGGAAGGTCTTAGTGAGCCCTAGTCATTCACACTTTAGCAAGAATTATTTTAACCTGACCCTTTCTCTTGTGAATTACTTTAGAGCCATTGAAATTAATCATTAGGTGAAAGTGGTAGGAAAGAGGATGGAATGATTTTGGAACTGGAGAACTATTGCAGAAAACATATCTGGCTACTGAGTGGTTCTGATTTGCAGGAGATAATGGAAATAGTCTACACAAATCACCTCAGGCTTAGATTTTTTGCTACATTAAAGATACTGAGTTCGGAGAAAAATAGGTGGATTTCTTTTTCTTTTCCCTTTTGTTCTCAATTTTATTTTCAAATATTTCTGCAGACTATGAAAAAGTAAATGAGGGGGGCTGTAGGATCCACCGTGTATGTGTATAGGTATACATATACATATGTGTATGGTTTCCCTGAATTCTAGGAGATGTCAATGTCAGCCAGATAATGTCTGTTGTGTGTCCTGGAAACCAGTAGTGCTATGTGTAGCTTTTTCATATCAGCATCCATCACGTCTTAAGTATTCACATTTTTAAAAAAATTTATATTCTGAGATTAATAATATCTTTTCCTCCCATTCTACAATTTTGTGTATCATGTTAATTTAAGCTATAAAATTTGGTTTAGCTAATACTACACTTTTACCATAACATAGTCACTTCCCATTCTAAAGGTATAACCTACAATTAGAGAAAATTTCAATTTGGGGTTCAAAGACACAAGGAAAGTCCATATGGAGCTAATGAATCACATGTTTTTTATTAGAATAATGTTGATAATTAAGAGTTTTAAAGTCAGGCTTTTGTTTGCATTTGAACTTACCTTTATTCCCCAACTCAGTAAATGCATTTTGGGGCTCCCTTCCACCATCACCCCTGTCTTCTTTAGGAATCTGTTTACATTTTCTTATTTTCTTGTATAGAGCCTATTTCTACACACTGACTAGAGCACATTATTGTCTTTTTATTTGAATGACATTTGCTGACACCGTGATTATACACAAACACTAATGTGGCTTTAAAAATGTAATATTCTTATGCATATAAAGATGAGAAGTTGAAAGGATGAGATCATTGCTTCATAAGCTGATTATTTGTACTTGACTTTACCTCTTGGTTTAGTTACTGGACCAAAAGAATGTCAAATCCATTTATGTTGTGTTCTTAGTTAATTGTCAGTGACTGTTATTTCCAAGGTGATGTATGTGTAGTGTATTTTTTGCAATGACAGATTTATGAGAGTTTGAAATGACTGGCAAAATAACAGCAAATGCTAAGCTTGCTCCCATTTGGCTTGTTCAATTAAATTGTAACCCCTTTACGAATATCTCAGGAAGTGTTCTGAAGGTCAAGATTTCCTTCCTTGGGCCGAAAGAAACATCAGTTATGACAGCAGTGCCCTCAATCCAGTTCACACCAGCTTACAAGAGCCAGTTGTTATAATTTCAAGAATTTTGTAAGCCCATTATACAAATTTATAGTAAAATAAATTATACCAAAACAAAAGTAGGAGATACTTAAGACTCATCAGTTCCTAATTGTTTGAGCACATTTTACCATCCATTCCCCTGCGATTATTCACACCAACTGTCCCTGCAAGGCAGAAATACCTCGTGCTGGGCAGTGCCTGTGGCTCAAAGGAGTAGGGCGCTGGTCTCATATGCTGGAGGTGTGGGTTCAAACCCAGTCCTGGCAAAAAAAAAAAAGAAAAAAAAAAAAGAAGTACCTTGTGCTGCTGGCCACTGTACTTCTCAATTAATTCCATCCAAATGCCTCAATAGTACCCTCGGGGTATTGACAGTGTTGAAACTAAAAGAGGTTTTAATTTAATCGGTGTGATTTATATGAAGGTGAAAAATAATTTAAGAGTAGGTCACATAAAAGATGTAATGACAATGAATTTATTGGGATAAGGACAGATTGGGATGCAACTAAATATGTGATTCTGTCCAGTTGTGGTTGAACTGCTGGCTGCCTATACAAGAGTTTGGCCAAAATCAATAAATGCAGTCCCTGAGAGTCACTTCATTATGTGGAATTTGCTATAAGGAATACTGTATGGCTGGGCACTGGGGGCTCACAACTTTAATCCCAGCACTTTGGGAGGCCAAGAAGGGAGGGTTGCTTGAGGCCAACAGTTTGAGTCTGCAGTGAGCCATGATCCCATCCATCCCTGCACTCCAGTCTGGGCAATCTCTCCAAAAAAGAACTTCTGTATTTCCTTGTTATTTGTAGATTGTGTGCCACATATCCTTTATATCAGCAGAATTTATGACAAACGCGTGTACATACCTATGGATACTTTCTGCCCTAGAGAATTTCTTGTTCAGTGCTGGCCCAGTCACCACTGGTTCTGCAGAAAAGGTGAAAATTCAATAGGAAATTTTAAAACAGCTTTTTCAGAAAGTTACCACAGAGAGCAAGTTTGTCTGTGAACATAATCTGTTAAAACCAGTCTGTTCATGCTGATACCACTTGGTTGACCAATAGTGAGGAGAGGTTTGTCTCCATTTTCAAGTGGAAACTCCTCCAGTTTGAAAGAGAACCAGAATGTCAACCAAATGAAACTGTAGACATTTTTGTTCAGGCTAAAGTATCTTGACTATCCGTTAGCGAGTGGGGAATATTAATTATTTATGATGACCTACAAAAAAATAATGTCTCAAGTCAAATGATTATACCATGTCTAATTTGTCTCAGGTTATTCTAGATTCACCAAAAAGGCATGTGAATCTCAGTCAAGGAGACTGACTTGCGCTGTGAACACCCTGATGTTCTTAGATAGTCTGTTCACTCTCTGATCTGTGGGGAGCTGAAAGCTGAACCCGTCAGACCAAGAAAAGGCTCTGGCCCAACCCCCCTAGAGAAGAAAGTTGCCAGATCGCACCATGGTTTTTAACCTCCTGTTACTTATATTTCAACAGAAACTCTCTCCCAACATGCATGAATGATCTCTATACACAGGAAGTGCCGCTCCCTGGTATCCTAGTGTGTCAAGTTGTATAGATCCATATGCCAGAGTAATTTATATACAGAAATAGTCACTCAGACACACTTGGTCTTTGCCTCATCCAAAACACATCTGATTTCACATCTAGTGACAAATTCCCTCAAAGCATTTTAGCAGGAGAAATGAAGACACCCAGGAGGTCTAATCAGGACTAAAAATTATTGTATTTAGTTAAATTCTTGAAGTGCTAACAAAAAACATTCAGGTCCGAAGCATGTGTGTGTTATGAGAAGACCGGAAAGGGTCATTTGGGTCTGTTACATAACTGCCACTTTCTGTTTTTATTCAAGGTGTCATAAAACTGAGTTCTGCAGTTGAAGGTACGTTTTTACAACCACAAAAATCAATAATGTTTTGCATAAAGGTTGCACAGCGTGGCTTGTAGCTAGAAAGCTTCTGTGGCAGTGGTCTTTGACGCCATGTCCGAGTCGCCAGCTATCGCCATCCCATGTGTGTTTCTCCTTGTTCTGCTCATTTACTGCCGCAAGTCTCTCGGCCCTCCGCAAGTGGCGTCACCGCTGACCTGAGAGGGCAGCTTCCTAAGAGAGCAAATGGGTCTCTTTCTCGTTCTCGATGTGATTGCCTCCGACCCAGCGCCCCCAGAGAGCCTACCCCTGGCTCCTCAGCAGCCTCGTGTGAGGCTGGACTTTGAATCTTGTTGGGGTCCTTTGCCCAGATCTTTCAGCAGGACCTTGTCAAAGGTGCCCTTTATCCCCCGGGGCAGGACGCTTGCCTAGGAAGTATGTGGGCACGAAAAGCCGTTAAAGCTTCCTGGAGAGAAATCAAGGTGGTTACAGCATTTGCCAATCTCATGGTGGGTTCCTCGTGGGCAGTGTGGTCCACACCGCCCGGTGCGAAGACCAGCTCACTTGAGTGCTGTCCCTATCAGCGAGTGGCAGTACCCTTCCGTTATGTGCTCAGGAAGCTGAAAAGGCCAAGACGGATTTAAAGAAAGTGTAAGAGAGGCAACGTGGCAGAGTGTTCTGCCGAGCAAGTTCTGAGAATATTGAGAGTACCTCACTGCCTGAAATAATTAATTGGCTATTGCTGTAAAACTGATCCCCTTAACCCCATGGGAGCTTTACAATTGGAAAGTAGAGGATGTGCAATCTTCTCTTTTTGTGAGTTTCTGTGTTTGTTGGGGGGGCTGCGTGTGTTCCTGTTTACTGAGGGTCTGTCGGGCATGCTTCGGAGGTTTCTTCATTCTCAACTGGGGGGCCTCCTGGAGGAGCTGGTGGGCTGTAAGGTGAGTTTTCTAACTAAGAAGGAGAAGGGGCTTGATGAATGGACAAAGCATGGAGGTGGGGAGGGGGAAAATGCAAGAGTGGAGGCTGTTGGCTTGACTCAACTTTAGGGATTCAGCGGACTGGAGTTTGAAGGCTGGCAGAGGACACAGGGACTCAGTCATGGGGACCGTGAGAGGGACCGGCCATCCAAAGTGGGACTCTGCCCCTTCTGTACACTTGGTACCATCACATTTTACAAAACCAAATGGAGAAGACAGTATTTCTGACTTCTGTGGTAGGTAAGAGCAAGGAAAGGTGCCGGTGGTGGTGTTTCAGGGTGGGAGCGAAGACACTCCCGCTGTAGGGAGAAAGGACCTGTGTCGGGCCTCGGCGAGCACAAGCAGAAATTCAAGTTCTCGCTGCACGTCAGTGTGGAATTTTATTGAGGGACCATCCAAATGCCTCCCTGCCTGACAAGATATAAAGACACAGAAACAAAATCAAGCATTACCAGGAGAATGACCTTGCCCACAGAAACTCCCAATAGCGACTTGAACGCTGAGTTTCAGTTAATTATCTGTAGAATTACAGATAACAGTTGGTTCACTCTGGGCTGTTACAATGTTTTTATCAAGGAATAACTTTGAAGTCATGGCCTTATGTTGCCTGCTTGGCTTCAGCACAATATTCCACTTGTAACAAAAGGATACAGAGACAAAAACCAAAATATTGGCTCGGCACCTGTGGCTCAAGTGGCTAAGGTGCCAGCCACATACACCTAAGGTGGCGGGTTCGAATCCAGCCCAGGCCCGCCAAACAACAATGATG